GTGGTGACCTCATGTTCTACATGCAAAGAAATTTACGCCTAGCTGAAGACTACGCTCGATTTTATGCGGCTGAAATTTGTCTAGCTTTGAATTTCCTGCATGAACGGGGCATCATTTATCGTGATCTCAAGTTGGACAATGTCTTGATGGACAGTGAGGGTCACATCAAATTAACCGATTATGGCATGTGTAAGGTGAGTGCTGTTCCGGTCGACCGTTGTATACAGTAGCGCTGCCTCTCCGTGAGGGTGTACTGGAGAATTTTATTTCACTAATTCGATCCCTTCATACTATTAGCCGAAGCCGAGTTCAAGCGTACGACCCTTTTTCATCTGAGTTCACCAAAGAAAGTGGTGTTTTTCACGGTTGCTCTGTCCTCTTTTCTATTTTAAGTTTTATTATGGAAATAACTTACAAGCTCATGTTTTTCTCGTTCCATAGGTTCGTGTTACGGTTAAAAGATCGTGATACATACAACTCCTTGTGTAAAATGTCACATGCGTGCTTCTTCCACTGCTGCACGCAGCTTCACTTGCGTTCGAATCTAAGGTGTGCAAATGTTTCATCAAGTCTCAGTTTGAAAGATCCAACGCTTGGCGCACAGACGACGTTGGGTGGAAGAGAGTTCCAGATCGAACGCACTCTGACTGTTAAACGGGCCTATCCTCGTGCGAGGATAGTGACATCGATTTTATCCCAAGTGGCAGACTGTCTGATCTAGAGTATGCAGACGATAATGTGTTGCTAAGCTGAAATCTGGGTATGTTGCAAGCTTTTCTGGATAGTTTGAGTGCTAGTGTAGCCATGTTCGGTATGCGTTTTGCACTTCCAAAGTATAAAATGTTGCTACAAGATTGGGTTGGTCCAGGCTCCAACCTCACCCTGACTGGGGAAGTATTAGGGAAAGTAGACAAATTCTGCTATCTAAGCAACTATATCCTACGTGGCGGACGCATCACGGATGAAGTTTCAGCTCGCATGCAGAAGGCTCGTTGGCGCTTGCCAACATCTGTGGCGCCGCCGCGACATCCGGCTGTCTGTGAAGGGTTCAGTGTACGCCGCCGCAGTTCGACCAGTTCTGCTATACGGCACAGAAACTTGGCCATTGAGATAGACTTTCGGTATTTGAACACCGCTGTCTATGCAGCATTGCACGAATCTGGTGGGGCAGCCGGACGAACAATGCTGAGGTTAGGCGTAGAGTTTTAAGTAGTGGTGGTCGTCCACTGAAGCAAGTGGTCGACCTTCATAGATTACGTTATTTTGGGCATGTGTTGCGCATTTCACCAGATAGGTTGCCGAGGNCAAGGGTGGTCAACCTATGACCTGGCACGAAAGTATGAAAGCGCTAACCAGGGGACTGGATCACATAGGTCCCGTTAGGCTCCATGGTCATGGTCGCCGGTGGTTAGAGACACTGAGTGTTTTAAACAGTGGCGTTCGCGCATCTAAATTTCTTTGTAACCTTAGACCACTAGAATTCTCCACTTTCTGTTCGACGCTACTTTCAACTTTTCTTTCTCCTACTGTTCATCCAAATGGGCAGCCAAAAGACAGAAACCGAAACCGGTGTACGAAGGTGCATAATTAATGGTTGTATAAACTAAAAGTGAAACTGGTCATCCGTTGTAGACGCTCCAGCATTTCGTGATCACTTTGTAGCCATGGATTCCATGCCTGGATAGCGTACTCTTTGAGTGGACAGATGTATCTCGATAGCAGACGGGGGAAAAGCGTTGACTCAAACCGGCCAATGTCACCCCTATGCAAACCGACATTCTTTACAACTGCGTTCGACATCCTGGTGTAGTTAAATAAGCAGCTTAAGTTTTTTGGAATGATAGTGCCCAAGTCCTTCTCACTTGAGGCGTGTGGCAGTTGTTCATTTCCTAGGAAATACTAAAATCGCCCGTTTTGTCGTAGAGACAGATCCTTACACTTTGGTACATTGAATTCAATATCGTTCAGAGACCAGAGTTTAGCTGCTTCCAGCGTTTCCTGGAGTGCCAGAGAGCCCGCTGGTTGCGTCACTGTATTTCAAATTTTGGCGTCATCTGCAAACATTATTGATTTTGGCCCCAGAGCCTTCGGTAGGTCATTTATGAATGTTAGGAAAAGTCGCGGGCCGAGCACAGACCCTTATGGAACCCCGCGGGTAACGCCCATGGGACTGGAAACGAATCAGAAACACGAACCGGTACGGTCCGATGTCGGAGAAACGCTCCGATTCAATCAAGCATGAGACCCCGAATACCGTAATTATGGAGTTTCCGCAGTAGGATCTCGTGGTTAACCCGATCGAACGCTTTTGGGAAGTTTAGATAAACAACGTCTACCGTATCGCCGTCATCAACTGCCTTTGTCCATTCTTCTCGTGCGATGAGCAGCTTGGTGGCAGAACATTGTACTTCCCTAGGTGTTCCATCAGGGAATCTGCTACTATGAACTCCATGATTTGGTATTGGATCTGGCTCCGGAAACAGTCCTGTCCTCGTGCGAGGATAGTCGCATCGATTTACTCCCAGACGGTGGACTGTCTGATCTGGTGTATGCAGCCGACATGTTACTGCTCGGTGAAGATCTAGGTAAGTTACTAGCTCTACTGGATGGTTTGATTGCCAGTATAACAATATTCGCACCTTCACAGTGCAAAATGTTGCTACAGGACTGGGTTGGTCCAGCTCCTAACTCACTAACTGGAGAAGTAATAGAGCAAGTGAATAAGTTTCGTTATTTGTGTGGCCATACCTCATTTGACTAACGCATCGGGTATAAAGTGTTTTCTCTCATACAAAATGTTCGTTTAGCACCTACCAACTGTCTCTCTCTCCCTCCCTCTGTATATAAAGATGAACGAACATTGTGATCTTAGACATCCGCGCGGCCTCTCTCTCTCTCTCTCTCTCTATATATATATATATATATATATATATACATATATTGGCACCGTTATACCTTGCGGTTTTCTTCCTACTGGTTCGTCCAAATGGGCAGCCAACTGACAGTAACCGAAACCGCCGCACTTTGGCTCAAGGGTAATGGTTGTACACACTGAAGCTTAATTCATGGTTGCTGTCCGTAGTCCTAAGATCTGAGATGTGACCTCGGCCACCAAACTTCGATGGGAACAATTTTCCGTCATCTGACCCAATACCACAACTGTTCCATTGATATATTATCCTAATGTTCTCCAAGTCCCCGGTTGATGTAGATTCTTGTGAGCAATATGGTTCACGGCTTCCTCTGTTCATCGCCTCATGATGTACGCATCCCATTAATAAAAACCATTAGATTGGATTCTTACTGATTGTGTGCCTAATATGTGAGCATTCGTTCAAATACTGATTCCGTTTTTTTTTGTTCATCGCACCACAGGAAGGTATCACAGCAGATGTAATGACATCAACTTTCTGTGGCACACCGAACTATATCGCACCGGAAATTCTGCGCGGAGAAAATTACAGTAAGTTTGCATCGTTGCCCCTCTCCCTTTGACGTTTATGTCTGTTTTTTTATGCGCGCTACACTTGTCATTTCGACCCTTCTTCGAACCGTAGCAACCTGTCTGTATTGTATTCATTCTTGCGAGATGTGATTGAAATTGCTTTTTCTCGGTGAAATTGGAATTGAAACCACCTTCCGCGAATTCAGCTGTGATTTGTGGTATGAAATAGCTAACTTTTTTAATTTTTAAGGAGACGAGTCCGTTTATCCGATTTCAGGTTGCTCGTTTCCAAAATAGTCTTCTCGATATGTGGATAAGCCCATTCGGAGAAACGGAATTAGTCGCTTCTCGAGTTGGAAACTAAGTTTGAATGGGTCGTACTGTAGGGAATCGACGATTTAGTTCTTCGGTTCCGTTTATTTTCTCTCTCTGTGTATACACAGAATCTCTTCATTCTCCGTAACTTTATTGCCTGATAATATCCTGATTGGTTGCCTATCCGCCTTCTCCAAAATAACCTTAATGAACGTCATGAATAGGCTATTCTCTGACATTTTGTACCTAACATCAGGAAGTGTAGCGATTTTCGTTTTGGTCTCGAAACCGGTCTCCGTTATCTTACATCAATACATAATCTCCCTGATGTTATAGACAATAGTCAAAGCCTCTCAAAATCTAACTTTAAATGAATCAGTGTCACACACTCAAACTCTGTCCTGATTTGCTCATGTAGATGGCGGTTTTACTAAAGTTTGAGGATTGCTCGTTTGTGCCTAGTGGTGCATATAATCTTAATCTTAAATTTGTAATGCCCTGCATCTTTGCACATTAATTATACTGTTCACCTTTATTTATCTCCGGTTTAAGAGAAAAAAATTTCAACTTGTTTTCCAGGTCCCTTAAACTTTCGTCCCAATGTAGTGGGATCGATAAAATTGTTTTCGTTGAGTTTTTTTTGTTTCCAAGCATTTTGACGCTGTCGATAAGTTTATTGACCGGATAACGCATGACCAAGAGTATTGTCCGCATCCTGAAAACTGTGTCAAATCTCCAAACTCGCTCCAAGTATTACTTTCTGCACGTACATACTCATACATAGTGTCATTCCGTATCTAACCCCTATTTTCGTCAATCGTCCAGATAAACCCACCGGCGGGATCGTACTGGAGCTCAGTCACGGTGTGCATAATGCTCACTGGTAGGAATGAGCTGATCTAGCATATCGAGCCACTCAGGCAGAGTTTCGGCTTCCTCTTGTGACTGAAGCGGACAGATATCAGGATCGAGAGTAACCATTGTGCGTGGTATTCACGATGCACCCGGTTGCCAAATATGTAACTTAAGGAATACACGATAAAACAATCAGACAACCGATAACCCAAACGAGCAAAGTATTGCCTATTTGAAATTCACCCTGGACGGGCTGAAATCCCTTAATTTCATTTGGCTATCGGAGTTTTCCACAATGTAGTGACCCGGCAAAAATGGAGTTTGATCCTTCGAAAACAGTGTCCTTGGTACAGTNCCTTCGAAAACAGTGTCCTTGGTACAGTTCTTGCAGGATAATTGCGCAATTATATCTCATTTGTTGGGTGTTAAGCTGATGGATCTCACACCTCTTTGAAGATTTACCGATCTCAACATATCTGTGAGGTTTTCTTTCACGTACACCATTCATGTCAGTTTTCCTTTGAGTGAGCCGAAGATTTATCACCTGTTGTTTTCCATACAGTTACTGTGAAAAGGACTCTTATATATGTGCGGTGGTTAACTGGTATATGTTGTTGTCACTACCGTACTCCAGGCTTTAAGATCCGAGGTTTAAAACCCCACGACCGCCCTCTAACTCTTGTGACAGGAATGTTCATACTTCACGGACTTTCCGTACCATGCTTATCTTATTGCGTTTTCATGTGGTCTGCCGCTGCAATTTCAACAGTTCCGGTTACCAATTTTCTTACCGGAACTGTAGGTCTTGGTGACTACTTGGAGCTTCACTCTTAATATTCATCGTACTAAAATGTGAAATGAACCGATACGACAAAATTACCCTGATGCTCTGTTTCAATATAAGACAATATTCGCACATTTCGCGACCACATATGCATCGTCGTTGCTTTTCAACCTTCCTCATGTCCCGGTAGCTAATTGTAATCTCAATCCCCGTTTCTTTTCGCTTCGTGTTTCGCACATTTCTACATTTGTTCTCTTCCCCATTGCACCTCTACCTGCTATCGCTTTCGGTCGCGTGGTGCACAGGCTTCAGTGTGGACTGGTGGGCTTTAGGTGTGCTCATGTTCGAAATGCTTGCCGGTCGATCCCCATGGGAAAACGTCGGTCAGTCGGTCAATCCGGATCAGAACAGCGAGGATTATTTGTTCCAAGGTAAGAGTGCAAACAGATTGTGAATGGTTCCATATCCATAATGGGATGATTTTTCCACAATCCCTGTTCATCGCGTTCATGTAAGTGATTGAACTGCATGTATTCTGGGGAGTGTGATACGGGTTTAGTTAATTCGTAATATTTTTGTTGCAAATCTGATTTAAAGAAGTATTGCGTAAAACACCCACATCATTCAGAATGGTTCGTTATTTGTGGCTGTCCGTATGAGAGGCCTCAGTCTCTTTCCCCCGAAATGCTCTCACAGAGTGCATCTCTCAAACCACCATCTGTGAAAGTTGAGCTTTCTTGTCTGTTTTTGTGTGCCTGAAAGTGATAGCATAAAAGCAAAAATCCGTAACTATAGCCGAATCAATGAGCTACCGGCAGCCAACTCAGCTGGAGGAGCTGAGAAGCCATGATCTCAAACTTTCCACGAGGAGGGATATTAACGCATTCTAGGATATCTAGATCATAATATTCACAGACTCACTTGACCGATAAAGCGTTGTCATGTGTAAGTTCCGATTGACTGGGCACCGGCCCCCAATATATTGTTGCTGTCTCACACTGCTAAAAAAATTGATAGTTTCTTTTAGCTGGACCCGCCGACTAGTAGTGATAGATCAGCTACACAGTATATGGAGACGCCTGATTCGTTTTACTTCTCGTGAATCGGATTCGGTAAACAACAATAATAGCGTCTTCAAAAAAGTTTCGTGTTCGTCTCCATGGTAACCAGATTTGATTTCATCCAGTGAATCAAATGATCCATGAGAAAGCTCAAGTTTAGAGAATGCAGAATTGTTTTATGGCTTCGGTTACTGTTCGACTTGGTTCTTACGCTAAACCCCAATGCTCAGCATTTCATTTAAATGATAAAAATGTTGCAATTAGGTTCATAATGTACAAAATGACGGGGGACATTGTGAACAGTTTTTTGGAAAGAAATATAACGAAGCTTCTTCCAGTTTTGTTTTCCGCCACAAAAACGTACCGAACGACCGACTCTCGTGCGTTATTCGATTGGACAAATATAGTCGGGCACATAAGCCCGGTATTGTCGAGATATTGTTAGCCTACTGAGCTTAACAGGGTCGTGCTTTGGGTCATCGCTGGATACTCACACATCATCGTTGCTTGACACCTCTCATCAATCAGGCAATTCGAGTGTCAGTTTTAGGGTTGAAAAAATCGCCAAAAGGATCGGATAAGGAACTAGTTGTGCAGGCACGTGGGTTCTGGTGGAAAAATTATTAGCGAACAAGTTTTACAAACGCATCCGATCCACACACGTTTTCGACTCCTCTTCATCGGGAGAAATTGCCGCAACGGGAGCTCAACCTTTGACGAATAAATTGACACGAGTGCTACTCCACCCGTGATCCAATTCGACCAAAATCTTTACTCTAATGTGGCAACATGTCGTTCGGAATTCGCCCGTGCAGCGGGCAATTAGCCAAACTTGTCAACCCTTTCTATCACCGTAACTTCATGTTGATATCTTTTAGTAAGTTGGCCCAGCCGTGTGGTATCATTTCACACTTGGATGGCAAAATACAGTTAACCAAACTGTTACAAATGATCATTGGCAAAATGACCATCTTCGCCGTCCTGTGTTTTTGTGAAATAACTCATCTAGATATTGTTATCATCAGCATCACATTCCAGGCGCCCTCATGATCAATCGATTTCCGATTATAATTTACATTTTTTTTCACCGATATTTGCGTTTGTCTACTGTTTAGATAATTGTTTATTTCTTTTACTTTCTTACAGTCATCCTGACCCGACCGATCCGTTTCCCCCGGTCTATTTCCGTTCGTGCGACAAACATACTTCGGGCGTTTCTAACCAAGGTAAACATACGTCATCGTATTAATCCCTGATTGTTCACAACGGACACCCCCAATGTTTTTCTTCATATGAGGAGCATAATGCTAAAAGCGTGTGCATGTCGACACGTTATACCTATGATCCTCTCAGCTGAACTGCTGTACGCTGCTGAGTGGAAGCTTCGACAAATTTTAGGTTTTTGACATGAACACATCTCCCCGGGGTAGTAATTTGTGTACTGCATGACGATAAGTCGCGTGTAAATGCACTGAATAATGTCCGCCTCTTCCAATGCTGCTAAATCTCCATGTTCCGTCGACTCGGCTTCACACCCAACATCCATCGGTTCCCAAAAGCCCACTTCACGTTCTGTTCACCCAACTTTTCTTCTCAATCCTATAGAATCCAGCTGAACGCCTCGGTTGTCTGCCTGACTCGAATTTTGCGGATATCATGAACCACGCGTTCTTCCGCCCGATCGATTGGGTCGCATTGGAACAGAAACAAATCCCTCCACCATACAGACCGACCTATGCAAATGA